CCAGGGGGGCAAGAGGACTACTGCCCCCCCCCCCTATGTACGCCACTGATAAGTGGGTTAACTGCAGAAAATATGATTTGGTAGATATGGTAAATATAAGGGAATAACCACGTGTTGGATTTTTCTTCATTTTGTATATTGTTTATTGTAATTGGTAATCAAACAAATCGTATTCAACAAAAAGATATAAAAAAGGTTTTAATAATTTTCAAAGAATGTCAACTCGTATGTTTTGCATTTCTTTCTAACAATTTCATAAAAAATGCACGTTTTTACGTAGTTACTTTAATGTGACTTTTTTGCAAATATGGTCATAGTTCTCAATATCAGAAAAAAAAATGTGAGAAAAAGATTATATGTTTGAAAGGAAAATTAGTTTTTAAGGGTATGTGAAGAATTAACGTAAGGAGGATATCGACAACAGTCCTCTTGGAGCTTATTTAGACAGCTGCCCGTGGTTGTATGTAATAAGCAACAAAATCATGGTTACCCACCCACAAGGAATAAGTATTTATGGAACTTTAAACATTTTTAGATTCGAAGGTTGAACTTGATCACTTCGGTTTTACCAAGGATGTAAGGCAAGGAAAGTCATTTCAGAAGTGTACACATCTTTAGTACTGTCTCTGGGCGCTAATGTAAACACAAGACGGATGTCGAAGCCTGACATGGGATCCATCATTCACATAAAAAATCAATGAAATATTCTGGCCATAGGAAATTATTATGTGAATTATCAAAATTAAATGCTTTTAACCTCCTCGGATACTAAACGAACACTGATGCATCTATTATTGTTTACAAATTCCGCCCAGAGAGAACTGGTTTCAATATGTACACAGCGTATACACAACCGCAATTGACTTTCCTTGCCTTACATTCTTGGGTTTTACAGTCTTTTCAAGGCAATGCATTAAACTAAAAAATTTAGCACGTAGCTTACTAATATTAAAAATGATACTATATTTGATTTTTTTAATACATAGAAATATTTCTTTTTCTTAATCTCTATTACTTACAGAATATAGCACATGCTATTTTTAGATTATATGCATATTACTATTTTAAAATCCTGGTTATAAACCCCTTCCCCCCCCTCTCAATGCAACGTACTTGCATAAAATACTATTTCATTGCAATTGCAAAGTCCATGTTTGAGCTCAAAGATGTCATGCATGCATTGAGCCCGTGCTTGGTTGAAACTGCGCAGTGCGCTCAAATACAAAATCCGTCCGAACAATTTTTAGCCAAAGAACGGAAATATTAATTTATTTCATTTAGATTTATCTCTGTTTGCCATCAGTTGAGTTCACGGCTTGTGCGAATAGATCTCCTGATTATTCAAGGATTTCTCAAGATTTTTCGCAGATTTCTCCTAACACTATATTCGCGCATTAACTCGTTATTTTGTAAACAAAAGACAAGTCCGTATAATATGTATCTATATGCCTAACTCTCTATCTACCTGTCTTTCTGTCTTCTAGGCAACCCAAGCCTGTAGTCAGGCAGTCTTTATCTATATCCAGGCAGTGAAACAGGCAGTTTCGCGTAACGCAACGTAAACACAGCGTAAATTATTAAAGGGCTTTAAACCTGCGTCATATATAAAGTTTCTAACATATAAAATAATTATATGCTATACAGTGTACAACAAAAAAGTGAAAAATAAAAAAAATTGAAATTAAAAAAAAAATTTTTCGAGATTAAAATTAAAGTGAGAGTTGTTGTGTGATGTATTGATTGGATGATGACAATGATGATACAATGAACTCATATCTAACATAAATTTCTATCTATCTATTCTTCTAACATATATGACCATCTATCTATCATCTATTACAATGTTTTGTAGTTTACTACAATTATTCTTAATTTAAAATCTTAAAAACAATATAAAGATACATTATATTTTTTTTCTCAGAATTACTAATGCAAAACTTAAAGGGGGAGGTCAAAAAGATGGAATTTTAAGGGTTTTAGGAAAATTCATTCGGTTTTTGGGTTTTACGAATCCCAGCTTTTCTCTCCGATATTGAATGAAACAATTTTTTTCTAAATTTTAGGCGGATTTGATTAACTTAACTCCTCTCGTTGTTATTATTAACCGGTAGTATTTTACAGGGGGGGGGGGGATTAATACTTCCGATTTGAAGGAAGTTGATAGGGGAGGGGGTCGTAAAAAAGAGTAAAAATTTAATTGTATTTTTCGAATCTTTTTAATATACTTATCTTGTTCTTGAAATCGTTAAAAGAGAAATGAAATGAAAATATAAATAAAAAGTTTTTTTGGACGGATTCCAAGATTCAGCAAAATTGGACATTGAAGACCCATTCTAAAAGGAAAACTAACAAACTTAAAAATGAAAATTTTTATCCCCCCCCCTGGAATTTTTTACTGTGAATTTTGCCAATTTTATGTGAAAACCATGAGCAGCTTGGAGGTGGAAAATGTGTTAAAGCAAGATTTAGATTTTTATCAAAAATCATAAATTTAAATGAAAAAGTGTCGCCGCAGGTAAAAAACATTTTTTGAATCTATAAATAGAAATCAAAATAGGACTAGAAGGTGCCCGCTCTTTCTTCTTGTGCTCCTAATTTTTCTAAGGGGGGGGGGACATCCCCCCAATTTTTCAGGGAGGGAGACGTCCCCCCCTCCTCCCCACCATAAGCCGCCTCTGCGTGCAATTTTGTTTTTTATTTACAAGGTTTTTTCTCATAAAAATATTTAAGAATCTAACATTTTCATTAAAAAAAAAATATTTTTAAATTTAACTGTGACTGGAATGATATATTTGTATTCGTTGGGTTCCTTTTACCTCTTCTATCTCCAATATTTAATCATTAATATACAAAAATAAGAATGGAAATCCACTTTTCTAAAAAATCTAGATTACTAACAACGAATATATTTGTAAATTCAAAATTATACTCCCGTTAAGAATGAGATGACGTAACGTAACGGACAATTTTATCTTTCTTTTTTAAATATAAAATATTTCCCTCTTCCATGAACCGACATCTTATCAATGTTGTTCATGATATATTGTATAATTGCATTGATTTGACTATAGTTTCTGTTGTTTCAGGTCGATTATTAATTCGGAGGTGAAAGGCCTTCTAACGATCATAGTTGGATTGTAATGTACAAATATATACGGTTACCCACTATACAACTTCATAGACGTATTTACGATTCATTTTTTTACATTTTTCATATTTTTGGTTCTCTCCAATTCCGTAAAACGTTTTCTTATTTTAACTATTGAAAGATTATATTAAAGAAAAAAACTATATTTTTAAACTCAGATCGTTGTTTTTAAAGAAGTTTAGATTTTTTGTATATTTCAAAGGATACAAAATACAAATCTAAAATTATCAATTAAATTATTTGTACAACTTCAAAGTCTTATTTATTTAATTTTCTTCGACACGAGTTTACACATTTTTGTCGTGAAACTTGAAAAAAATATGAATTAATTGCTATAATTTTGTATAATCCATAATGCCCCTTTAAATATTGATTTTTATATGTTCCCAAGCGGGATATAATTATTATTGACTAGACATGTTTAAAGGTGTAAAGACATGAGTAACCAAATAACGATCAAACATTTTAATCGAAATCATTAAATCGATATATTTCCTTTCCTACAATTATTTTGAAAGCATGCAAATATATATATTTTAATGATATTAAAATGAATGCGAGTTTAAGAAGTTTTTTTCTTCATCCGTGAACATTTTTACATGATTTTGACATTTTTAGCTTTCTCGACTTTCTCTAGGAAGGAGAAAGATAGACAGCAATATTTGATGTCTGTCCTGATAGATAGATACATAAACAGAAGATAGATAGATAGATAGTACTCAGCTGATTTGCGGACTCCGAGTTTTCAGTTTCTGTTTGGAGTCAACACAACAACAATGTCAACAAATAATTTCGTGAAAAAATAAAAATATCTTTTAGATTTAATTTCAAATATTTCATAACACACAATGGCAAATTAAAATAAAATTCTTTATTTGAAAATTGAAAAAATGCGTAAATCAGGTTTCAGGGTTTGTTTTTAAAGTTTAAATGCCACAGTATACGTACACATTACGCTATCTTTACTAAGATTGACGCAATAGTATTAAATTACGTACTTTTTCATCAAATTGTTTTTTTTTTTCAAGATAAACTTGATTGACCTAATTTTTTTAGAGTACTATTTCTTGTCACACTTATAGCAAAAGTACGTTTTTTTAACATAAACTAAAATTTTGAAAACCTTTATTCACCAATTTAGTTTTGTAATTTTTTCTAGCAGTTTTTAATTTTTCGAACTGTTCTTATTTTTTCCTACTTTGTTAGGACTGCTGTTATCACTACTGTTTAGTGTTTTTTCAATTTATCTATCTGTCTGTCTGTGTATCATTCTTATCTATCTATATATCTCTCTATCTATCTATCTATCTATTTAACTATCTATCTATCTATATATCTCTCTCTATATCTATCTATCTGTCTATCTATCTATCTATCTATTTATCCTAACAAATCTTGCATGGTTACTGGTTACAAACTCTTGTGGATTCACGGTTCAAGTAAAACAAAGTAATTTCTAATGTTTTGTTTTACACTATTTTTATTTATTTATTGTTTTTTCAGTTATTTAATCTGTTTTATAGGAGAGCAATGTACTTTTCAAAATGCATTCCCCCCGGGTCCAGTTTTCGAATACAGAGCATGATTAAAAGGAATCAGAGTCTTCGCCACAAATTCAAATCTTCTATTCCTTATATCTTTGAAAGCAGTTGCAAAGATATAGGAATTAATTTGTGGCATGCAATTCGTTTGTTTAACATTCGCAGTTTTATTTTTTATGACTTTATCAAATATTTGTATGTTTGTGACTTGTGAGTGCGTTTCTGTGTTTTGGTGTTTGTAAGTAGGTTTCTATGTTTGTTATGTTTGTCAGTAGGCTTGTGTGATTGTAAATAAATGGATTGGACAGGTGTTAGAAACACATCTACCCTTCCCCTCAACCCTTAGATTCAATATATAGATAGTAATAATATTAATAATAATAATAATAATAATGATTTATAAATAATATTACATAAGGGACATCAGTTATTCGTATCTAACTGCACACTAGACAGAAAAGGAGAAGCTCAAATTTATGCAACTGTGCTAACCTACGCCTTTGTAACCTCGTGTATGTCCTGTAGTTTTGATTTTATATACAATTATGAAAAATAAATTATCCCGGTTACAGATTGAAAATTCAAACCATTTGCTCAATAGCTTTATAATTTGAGGAGTAGTAATAGAAAACATATAAGATTTCTATTGGATTTCAATTTTAGGTTCAAAATATTCTGTAGTAGAAGAAGAAATAAAACATGGAACTATTAGCTTATCTCAAACTCGAATTTTCGAATCCTTATATCATTGAAAACTGATGGTATAAACCTTTGATATTTCAAAAATTGACCATTTGACCCAGTATGTTTCATAGGTTGAAATATCAAAATGATTATGTGACATCAGACTGTAAAGATATACGGATTAGAAATTAGAGTTGGAGACAACTATTTCCAGTTCTGTTTATTAAAAAAAAAACTTTAAGTTTGAATTCTTTTTATTGTTTATTTTCATTTCAGAAAAATGACATCATTGGTAAAATGTCTAAACAACAGATATTCTGATGACGACGACGATCAGGTATAAACTGGTTTAAATGTAAACAAGCTGATTAAATGTAAACAAACTGATTTAAATGTAAACAAACTGGTTTAAATGTAAAAAAAACTGATTTCAATGTAATCGAGCTGGTTTAGATGTAAGCAAACTGGTTTAAATGTAAACAAACTGGTTTAAATGTAAACAAACTGGTTTGGTTTAAGTTTAAACAAACTGGTTTAAATGTAATCAAACTGGTTTAAATGAAAACAAACTGGTTTAAATGTAAACAAACTGGTTTAAGTTTAAACAAACTGGTTTAAATGTAATCAAACTGGTTTAAATGAAAACAAACTGATTTAAAAGTAAACAAACTCTGATTTAGATGTAAACAAACTGTTTAAATATAAACAAGCTGGTTTAAATGTAAAAAAACTGGTTAAAGTGTAAACAAACTGGTTTAAATGTAATCAAACTGGTTTAAATGAAAACAAACTGGTTTAAATGTAAACAAACTGGTTTAAGTTCTTACAAACTGGTTTAAATGTAAACAAACTGGTTTAAATGTAAAAAAAACTGGTTTCAGTTTAAACAAACTGGTTTAAATGTAAACAAACTGGTTTAAATGTATACAAACTGGTTTAAATGTAAACAAAAATGAAAAAAAACTGATTTAAGTTTAAACAAAATGGTTTAAATGTTAACATACTGGTTTAAAAACTGGTTTAAGTTTAAACAAACTGGTTTAAATGTAATCAAACTGGTTTAAATGAAAACAAACTGATTTAAAAGTAAACAAACTCTGATTTATATGTAAACAAACTGTTTAAATATAAAAAAACTGGTTTCAGTTTAAACAAACTGGTTTAAATGTAAACAAACTGGTTTAAATGTATACAAACTGGTTTAAATGTAAACAAACTGCAGGTTTAACAAAAAATATAGAATCATTGCTTCACCAGGAAATGCACAAATTCAGAAAAGTCAGCGCGGCATTTTGTAAATGTTGCGCAGTTGCACAATGACGGCATTTTGTAAATTGACATTTTTTCAAGTTTGTGCATTTTTAAGATCTTTTATAACTGGAATCAAGACAAACATATGTCAAATTAGAAGTAAAGAGTCAATATGATACCCCCTAGTCCTAACATGGATTCTTCCTTTTTAAGAATACATATAAAACGATACGTATCAGTTCCACAATTTAATTAAAAATTTCACATAAAATACCAAAATTTCGCTGAAATGTCCAAAAACACTATTTTAAAAAAAGCTATGTTTTAATGAGGAATTTCCCAATTTTTAATAATTTTTTAATGATAGATATTTGATTAAGAAAGCAAGCTTATTGATGTTTTCAGGCGTTTAATCCCAAAATATGTTTTATATAGGTTTTTAAAACTCTTGTTGTTTCCAATAAAAACATTGTTCGATTAGCCGATTATGGTTTTGATATTAAGGTTCAACCAATGTTTAACAATTTGTTTTTAGTAGTTATATGGTTTATTTATTGTTCAATCCATTGTTTGGATTAAATCAATAATGGCAAAAGGTGACAGTTACAAAACAAAAATGTACATTTTTACAAGTTGTTTATTTCCTCATTATTACGTGGTAAATTTTTTACAATTTCATAATCTTAACTTTGTGATTAGAAATACCAAACACGATTCATACAAATTAAAAATTTAGGAAAAGAAAGCAAAAGCTTTAAACAAAGAAAATAGAAAGCACAATTTCTAAATGTACTGTTCTTGTATTATTATTATTATTTCCGATTCACTACAGTACCCTTTCAACTTTTATCTGATTCACTACAGTACCCTTTCAACTTTTATCTGATTCACAACAGTACACTTTCAACTTTTATCTGATTCTCTACAGTACCCTTTCAACTTTTATCTGATTCACAACAGTACCCTTTCAACTTTTATCTGATTCACTACAGTTCCCTTTTAACTTTTATCTGATTCCCTACAGTACCCTTTCAACTTTTATCTGATTCACTACAGTACCCTTTCAACTTTTATCTGATTCACTACAGTACCCTTTCAACTTTTATCTGATTCGCAACAGTACCCTTTCAACTTTTATCTGATTCACTTTCAGTACCCTGTCAACTTGTATCTGATTCCCTATACAGTACCCTTTCAACTTTTATCTGATTCACTACAGTACCCTTTCAACTTTTATCTGATTCGCAAAAGTACATTACATTAAATTTTTCTAAAGCTGAAAACAGCAATTCATTTTGCATGGAAACCACAATCTAAAATAATCAATTTTGAAAGCGAAAAATGAAAATTCATTCTTGAATAGAGAAAGCTTTAAAGTGTACTGAAGTTAATTGAACACGCCACTCTATAATTGGGAGGTCATTTGAAATTATTTGTACGATTGACATTTACCTCAGTACATTGATGATAGAGATATTTTTGTTTTTCAATTTTCGCGGATTACTCAAAAAGATTTTCGTGGATTTCATATGCTTAAATAATTTTGAGATTGATTTCCTTATCATCTTTTACCAGAGCTGGGAATTTTTGAATGGTGGATATCGGGATTAATGCTTGATCCACTCTTTTTCTTAATCTCCATATTGAATTATGCTTGTTTTCCTGTTGTTATTAATCTCCAGAGCTGAAAACTTTTGAATGGTGGATATCGAGATCAATGCTTGATCTCCTCTTTTTCGTAATCTCCAGATTAAATAGTGCTTGTTCACCTTTTGTTATTAATCTCCAGATTAATTAACAGATTGGGATTAAGGATATCCCATTCTAAAGTTTTCAGCTCTGTGAAATGTAAATCCCTTATGGCACTTGAAGGGTCACTCATAGAATAATGTAATGAAAAAATACCATTTTTTAAAAATAAGCATTTGTTTTGAATTGCTTTCTTTTTGCATCCTTGATTTAGTTTAAGGGTCTGTGTAGGCAGAAACATCTTTAAACTTGGGTTTCCCATAATTGAATCAAAAACTAAACTTCCCTCCATTTTGTATTTTTAGGCACATTGCTGCTTTCTTTTTCTAGAGAAAAATTTATAAATTACTAGCTAAAGGACCCGGCGTTGCCCGTGAAAAAAAAAATTATTTAAAAAAAGATTTCGAATTTTCTTTAGCCTATGACACCCCCCGGCTACCCATGAGTGTCCACAAAAAAATTCAGCCCATTCGGTCCAGGGGTTGGCCGGCTATACGCAACATATACATACGAATGTCTTGATTTATTATAAAGATTTCCAAATGAATATATTCGTTAAAAATAAATAGTTATTGTAAATAAAAATCTATTATTATACATTAATTTAAATTTTTTCTTATAAAAGCGTAATACGCTCATATCCCACCCTCCGCAAACAGTCTCTCTCTAGAGGAGCCGAGGGGTGTTAAATGATACCTTCTCCCCCCCCCCCTGATTTATATGGTTAAGCCGTGTTCAGAAATATGTTCTAAAAAGCTCAGGATGAGAAAATTGGCGGGTTCAACGTTCATTGTTCAACGAAGTGTAAAAATTAATGAAATTTAGTTTCTTTGTCCAAACTGGAATTGAGACAGGAAAAAATTGAATGTTTAAAGGGGACTATAAGCATGATTTTAATTCAACCTCCAAGCAACCTTTTTCTAATCAATAAAGTGGAAGATATTGCCCTGTAGAACTCAGTTTGCAAAAGTTTGGATTTTTGCAGCAGACAAACAAATAAAGATTCACAGAATTTGACACTTTTTAGAACAACGCCAATATCTTCCTCAGATACAGATTTAAAGGGTTTAAACTGTTGGAAATTGAAAATGCAACTTTTTGAATGGGAACACTTCAAATTACGTAACCCTTGGAAATCAGGAAACAGTTTTCTTTTTCTTATACTCGTTAGGAAATCCAGAAGCGCTTTCTTTTACAAGTTTCTTGGTATAGTTCACGAAATCAGAAATTGAGATTGAATATGCATTTGATAATCCTTGATATAAATCAGATTTAGATTTCCTTTTATAATTCTTGGTTTCCTTAGACCGGAAGTATTGGAAATGTATGCAATATACCACTACACTGTACTGTACTCACTACAGTGGACAAAGCAGGCTTTGTTGCAATATATAAAACAAAGCCAAACCAATATTTCAGTAAGAAGGGGGGGGGGGGCGGATCTATAGGGGACCGGATCTAAAAGGGAAAGGGTGGGAGGTTATTTCAATTTGTTATTGGATTGCACAAGGTTTAACATTTTTCTCAAATGTTTTTCAAATGGGACTGATCTCATGTCTCAACTCATAATTTGTTTTATCTATTTAACTTTGTAACCTGATGTGTAAACCGTTGATATTTTAAACTTTGACTATATGAATAGAATTAAAAGTTTGAAATATAAAACGACAAACGATTGCAAATATAAACAGATTAGAATATTCGAATCAGTTCTATTGGATATGGTACATTGTAAACTATGTAGATAGAAGGAGAAGGTTATATTAAACAGATTAGAATATTTGAATCAGTTCTATTGGATATGGTACATTGTAAACTATGTAGATAGAAGGAGAAGGTTATATTAAACAGATTAGAATATTTGAATCAGTTCTATTGGATATGGTACATTGTAAACTATGTAGATAGAAGGAGAAGTTATGATTGAAGCGTATCTCACGTTAAATTTACTTTACGTGAGTACATAAATGTATTTAAATTGTGTATTTTTTTACAATAAAGTCAAATATATATATATATTTGGATGTGTATATGTTATCTATAGCTGGCTAAACGGCTGGACCAAATGGGCTAATCATTTATTTTTAATTCTATTTTTTCCGAAATTCCACGGGTGCACTTGAGCTAGTTTTTAATATATTTTGTATTTAGGATGAAGAATTACAGTTTGTGGTTTTCGTTTCCTCATCTCCAGAAGCAAAACAAGGACTTCTACCACATATTATCACACTTAATGATTACCACATAGGTAATATACATAATATCATATATGTTTTGCCCCATATATATAGGTACCACATATTTACTTATAATGATTACCACATAGATAATATACATAATATCATATATGTTTTGCCCCATATATATAGGTACCACACATTTTACTCATAATGATTACCACATAGATAATANGGGGGGGGGTTGAGTGCGTTTATGGTGCAATAAGACATGAAATGTTTTTATTTATTTAAATTTGAACAAAGAGAATTCCGGAAATTGAAGATTATTTCACGTCAAAAATTCTTGATTTTAAGGTGTGAATGGGAATTAGAGAATTTGAGTTAGAGCAGTAATGAAATAATTAACCACAGAAAGATTTGAAATATGTCAGATTTGATAATATGACATTCATGGTTATTATTAAACAATGACAATTTCGTATTCTGTTTTCTAGCAGAAAAAGAAAAAGAAGTTTTTTTTTTTTTTGGGGGGGGGGAAGGTTACACTGTGGTCCTTAAACTTTGGATTTAGAAGATAACTATTATAGTGAAGTTGTTGATTTTAGGGTGCTTCGCGTCCATCTACTATTTTAACTTTCAATTGTTGATCTATCTGTGAGCATCTTTTTTTGTACAGTAAAAAACAATAACAAAAAAAGTTCGTGATTTAATAATATTTTTTTTGTGGATTTTTAAAATTTTACGAATATCAAAATATTAAGTTTTGTACTTCTGAGCATTCATAACCACTCGCTGGGGTCATGTGAGTTCCCACAAAAAATTGGGCTCGATTGGTTCCGCCTTTTTGACGTTAATCGGTTACAAACAAGCAGCCAATCAATTCAGCAAAGTATTAATATGATTAACACGAAACAGCAATTTTACACAATCCGTTAAAAAAGAAGTTGATTTTTAACCCATTTTAGTAAAACTACATGTCTTCTAACAACATTAAATACATATAAGAATACATTACAAGTTATCTTTCCACAGTTTTCTAATCTGAAAACTACATTTCTTCTAACAACATTAAAAGCTATAGCTGGCCAAACGGCTGGACCGAATTGTCTGACTTTTTTAGGCTAGAAAAATTCAAATATTTTTTTTCACAATTCAAATTTTTTTATTTTTTTTTATTCCACGGGCAACGCCGAAACTTTAGCTGATAATAAATGTATATAATACAATGAGTGGTTTCCCGTGCTACGTATGTGTGCAGTTTCCCGTGCCCTCTGTCCTCTCGTTGGAGAATCTACCTAATTTGCTTAAATCATTTATCTAAATAATCTTGTGCTATTCAGACAAATGTCGTAAAGTTCTTCTAAGTGTAATTTCAAGTGACCTTCCGTGCAAAGTTGACACTGACCGATTCACCCTTTTAACTTTAGTCTGATCATGTATGAATTAATAGTTTGCAAACCCGATTATTTTTAAAACACTTTTTAACCTAAAAAAACGACAATATCTTCCATCTTTTCCTGGAGGGTCATTTAAAATTACGCTGTACTGTCCCTTTAAAAGATATAAATTTCAACGTTTAATGAACAGTGGAAAGTACATGTAACAATTACAATAAGTTTTCTTAAGTCAGTATCAATCTGGATACTACTTCAGTATCTATCACTCGAGAAAGAACCTCTGTATTCGTCAGTATCTATCACTCGAGATACAACCTCTGTATTCGGAAGTATCTATCAATTGAGATACAACCTCTATATTTGTCAGTATCTATTACTCTAGATACCACGTGCTCTAGAACTCAGTGTTCCACAATAATACCTTAGTCATAACACTCTCTGTATTTCTTATGTCTGTATCTATCAATCGAGATACTACTCGAGCTGACTTTCTGCTTCTCTACACGAGAATGAATACGTGTCTAAAGCAAAGGTTCATGTTCAACTACTCTATATTTTGTGTTTTATGGTAGATGTTAAATTACTGAACGTAATTAACCTAAATCGTATAGTTCATGATGATGATAAGGACCGATAGGTTTTTTCGGAAATTAGGATATGTTCAGGTTGACAAATATACCATTATATTTATTACATATCTACATATTTAAATTCTAAGAATTCAAAGAATTCAAAAGTTATTCAAAGATGAATTCCAAAATTATTCATAGGTGAATTCAAAAATTTTATAAAAAATTAAGAAAATATTATATTATTCTGATTATAAAACAAACTTAAATAATTTGTTTTGTTACAGGTTCTGAAGATATTAGCGGGGTTCCCAAATCTGAGTTTTCTCAACCTTTCAAACAATTTGCTCGGGGGCCCTTCAGAATCTGAAAATATTCCAGGGGGCCCTTTACCAGAAGAAAATACCAACACACCAAAATTTAAAATGAGAAAGGTATTTATTATTATCATCATTATCATCATCATCATCATCATCATCATCATCATCATCATCATCATCATTATTATTATCGTCATTATCATCATCATCATCATCATCATCATCATCATCATCATCATCATCATTATCATCATCATCATCATCATCATCATTATCATCAACATCATCATCATTATCATCATTATAAACTCGGGAATTTCACTTAAAATTGAATTTTCTATTATTTAATTTCCTAGAATCAAATTTCTATTTTGTTCTGATAAAACAAATTTGAATTTTGTTTTCTGAGAATACAACTTTAAATGTCACCAAAAATATAAATAGAATCGCCATGTTTTTCCACGTGAAATATTTTATAACTGATGCATTTTTAGAAGATATTTTTAATAGGCTCTGTTTATCAAATGTTTTGAAAATGCATTTTTTTAGATGAAAGAGACTTTTTAAAATTTCATCAAATTTATGTTCATTGTAAATATCAATAAATGCAAATTTTTGATCAAAGAACTTTTTTTGGCTTTTTAAATGTTTTTTTTTGAGGGGGGTTGGTTGGTTGGTTGGTTAGGTAGTATACTTTATCATTGAACTGTCTGCAGTTGTAAACCACTAAGCTGTATAAAAGTTATGTTTTCCTGAAGAAAAGGGAAAACCCAGAAACCAAACTTATAAAAAGGTCACAGAGTACATACTCTCAGAGTTATAAGAAGGGGGGGTGGGGGGGGAGGATCAGAGTTTCCATTTTGTTCGCCATAATAAAATAGATATTCCTATGTAATGTAGAGAATAAAGCTAGAAATTACAGGGGATTCTTTATTCATCTAAAAATACCCAGTTTATAACAGTTTATAACAGTTTTTAACAGTTTATAACAGTTTATAACAGTGTATAACAGTTTATAACAGTTTATAACAATTTATAACAGTTTATAACAGTTTATAACAGTCTATAACAGTTTATAACAGTCTATAACAGTTTATAACAGTTTATAACAGTTTAAAACAGTTTTTAACAGTTTATAACAGTTTATAACAGTTTATAACAGTTTATAACAGTTTATAAGAGTTTATAACAGTTTTTAACAGTTTTTAATAGTTTATAACAGTTTTTAACAGTTTATAACAGTTTATAACAGTTTATAACAGTTTATAACAGTCTATAACAGTCTATAACAGTCTATAACAGTTTACAACAGTTTATAACAGTTTATAACAGTTTTTAACAGTTTATAACAGTTTATAACAGTTTATAACAGTTTTTAATATGGGTAAAATCACCAATAATCCAATTAGTTTGATTTGGAAAGAAAACTAATCCCTGAAAAGAATTTAAGTGCTGGGTAAAAATAGAATAGCTTGAAGACAAGTGGGAAAAACTAACAGCCTGACGGGAGAAATAAAAACTTTAAATAATTTAGCAAATTGTAAATATTTTACTGCATAAGATCTTATCATATTTTTACATTAAACTGTATTTTATATTTCTAAAAAAAAAAGTTGCATTTTTTAAAGTTGTAATTCCTAGAAAAAAATCAAAATTAGCTTTTTTACTGATTTTTTTTATATTCAAAAATCAAAATTTTATAAAAAAAATTCAATATTTTTTTTTGCTCTACTTTAAATGTTTTATACTTTTAACAAGTTTTGTTGAGAAACAGTCAAAAATGAAGTTTGAAACCGAAATTAATGAATTGAAGAGGTTGCTGTTAACTACAACTTTTGCTGGGTCAAATTCTATATGACCAATAAAAATACTAATGAATCTTTAACTTTTGAAACGGTGTGGTGATTCAAGATTTAAACGACTTAGCTCACATTCATTAAATTTGGCCCTAGTATTACAGCTATTACTAAATTGCCAAAATATAATAACATAGTTTTTTGACTCCTTACATATATCTTACATTTCATTAAATCTATTTAAGAAAAAAACAACCAGTACATTTGTTTAACATATCATTAGTAATATCTATCTTAGGGTGAAGATATCTGGTGGTTCGAACAGTACTCTTGGGCTCTGTTTAAGGTAAAAATTATAAAGCTTTTTTAATATTTTTCTTTCCAGTTTTTTTCTCCAGAAATTCTGAGCAAAAAAAAACTTTACTTTTCCTGGAGACAATGATTCCCATTTATAATATTTCAGACAAATTTTAGTAACCGCACGTTAATGCATATCAGATTTCCATCATGATCTCTTTTGTGGTTCACGGGACCGTAGTACATTAGAATATCCGAGCCAGGTCAACTTTTCCAGTTACAGTTTGTACTGTACCTAGCTCTATGGACAGGACTAGCTGGTGCAACGCGGAGACGGTCAGAATTTATGCTTCATATATTTGAATTTACTTTTACTAAAGGGGCATATTTACGTGGGTTTCTCTATAGTTAAAGTGACTTGCATATTTTTGCTTCTGACAGAGGTATAAAAGGTTGGGATCCGAGCATACCCTCTTTTAAATGGAAGGTCACTCGAAATGTCAACGGGAATTCATTTCAGTAAAATATTAGCAAACCCTGTGCAACCTTCATTCCTCCCATAAAAAACGAATGCAACACACTTTTGGCAAGATTTTGCAATTTTAAACATTGCAATACTTTTCTAGCTCTGCAGCCAAAACCATTAAAGTGTTTCATGAGGCATAGATAAAACACACTCATATCACTTATAAATATGAATTGTAGATTGTAAAGTACTTAATCAATTTTTAAACAATTTCCAGAAAAAATTATGTCCATTGAGAATTTTATTTGTACAGGAGAATGTGTTTTTTTTGCTGGAATTCGCATTTGATTTACTAGTAACATATATTTAAAAATGACTGTTCGGAATTTATATTTTATTGTCTTTTTCCTCAATGGATTAATAACAATACAGATAGAACACTTGATGTCGTCTATTCAATATTCAGGGGTTTCTTTGTTTACAATAACCCTGAGGCAGAAGCCCAAAGGAGTTACGCGCATGCTGTCTCTCTGTCTGTAATTCAACGCATCAAGCGCGTTACTACAACCCTTCTGGGTTAAATTGTGATCGAAAAACCCCTAAATCTTGAAAAGATGACATTTAGTATTCTATTTGTATTGTTATCAATCTATGATTTCCTTATAATCACGATTTCCTGCATTTTTAATCTTCTTTCGTTGACACATAACTTTTTAAGCCAATTATACAGACCAAATTTGAAACAGAAAACTTAATTTATACATGGGATCATCCTTTTTTGAAGAGTTTCAAGTCGTCTTTACAGTCTCATCCTTTGTGGATAACCCTGTATTTAAACTCGAATCTAACAAAAACACAGAAAGTTTGGGATGATGATTCTTCATGAAAGGATTCACTAAAGTTGACAACGCGACTTTCAATTTGTATTTTAAATGAGGAAAAATATATCTGCTAAAAATTGAAAACCTATAACCTGGGATTTTTAGAAAGTTACTTCTAGATTTCAATAGAACGAACTATAGCAAGAAAATGGTCATAGGAATTGAGCCTTTGCCAAAAACTCAGATTTACTAATCCCAATAACCTTGCATCCTGATGGAGTAAACCTTTTATTTTACAAACTTTGATATTTTGATCTAATAGAATTTGAAGAAGAAAATATCTAAGGTCCATGACATTGGGTTGCAAAGAAATAGGGATTATAAAATGAGAGTTTGGAGCAATGACTCAATTAAAACAGAAATTACTGCATATTTTGTCAGATTGTTTCTAAGATATACAAATCAAGAATTAAGATTTTATTAAATTATAAATATTTTATTAAGATTACTCATTAAATATATCAAAATATCAAATCTATATTTCTTATATTTTAAACCATGTGAATTGTAGGGAAAAAAATGAAATAAAATAAAATTGTAATTTTGATTTTCTTTTCCAGGCAATGTCCCACATGCTGTGTATTGGATACGGGAGATTTCCCCCACAGAATATGACGGATGTCTGGCTCACTATGCTTAGTATGATTAGGTAAAATTTACCTTTTTAGTAAAAAATATCAGATTTTCTTTTGCACAATAAAAAAAACAGTCAAATAATATTAATTGACTATTGCAAATGAGAATGAAAAAATTTCTTCAAACGATGTTATATAACTTCTGAATGTCAGTCAATTGAATCACAAACTTCAGAAATGTTAAAATAAGTTCGTTAAAAATTAAATAAATCAAATCCTCACAGTACAGTGCAGTACAGTATTTAGTACAGTACAGTACAGTACAGAGACAAAAATTTTGCAAGAGCCCCCCCAAAAAAATGTGTTTTTAAATATCAAGACATTAATAGATAAATTCAAGGATTTAAAGAACATTTGTACATATACCCATACAACAAGAAAAATGAGGCGGATGATAAAAATAGCAATTCAAAGTAAATTTTAGATTGTAAAATTTAATAAGAATTGTTTTTAACACCAAAATACTTGTGCAAGAAAGATAATAACTAATTAGCAAAAAATATAAAGGGTTTTTTTAAATGAAACACAAAGGAATTTAACTTAGGTTTTCTAATCCCCATATCTTTGAAGTCTGATGATGTAAATCTTCCACATTTCAAACTTGGACTTTTTGACATAACATAATTTATAGTTTTAAATATCAAAGGTTTACGACGTCGGGGTTTAAAAATATAGGGATAAAAACATTTGAGTTTGTGGAAAAAACTCATTTTCTTTACACACAAAAGCAGACCATTTGAAGATTCATGCCTTAAACTTGGTTAATTCTTCTACAAAATATTTAAAAATTATTTTTTATTTAAAGTTTAGACAAATGTGTTCAATTTTAAAAGTAAAATATTCAGGGAAACTTAAAAAAAAAGTTTTTTAAAAATATGAAATGTCACCCAAACCCCATGAATGAGTTTTCCACATTCAATCCGTTCTTTTTTTATCAAAGTCAACTCTTGCAAAAAATGTGATTCAAAATGTGTTGTAATTTGCATGTTTTTTAAATTAAAATTAAATTCCGACAATTGTCAAAAGGCATTTTTTTGTAAAAATACTTTTTCTCTTAAAAATATGAAAAAATATAAAAATCACAATAAGAAAATATGGTAATTTTTCAATCTTAAAGGGAGTGTTCGCGAGAAATGAATGGGTATAGGCTGAATCCAAATCAAAGTTGAAATATTTTTTCTCGAACACTCCCTTTAAAAAGCGTTGAATGCTGTCATTGTCATTTGTTTCTTCTACATAAATCAATTCATTCAAAACCATTATTTTTAGAACAAGAATGTGTTAATTAATTTTTTATCCGAAAAAAAGATGAATGACACGAATAGGTTGATAAATTACGTCCCTTTTAAAATCCCTAAAATTTTCTGAGATTGTTTTTAGTATTGTGGTCGCCATGGTGTAATTTCATAGAAAAATACAAAATAAAGTTTGCTGAGCAATTAAGGGGGGGGGGGCAAGGAAAGGGGGGGTCGCAATATAATGACAGCCATGCTTTTACTCTTTTGCAGAAATTCTAATTGTATAGTTTGAGCTCAATCCTAAAAACATGAAAGAAAAATATATTTATTCTATAAAATGATTCTAAATATATTCCTATATATCTAAATATATTCCTATATACAGTGTTCCCTAAATTAAAGTGGAACAGAAATAAATTGTGGACGCAGCGTTTCTTGAAAAGAAACTGAACACTTATCACAAATTCTAATTTTGACATCCTAGGACATGATATTTTTAATCATTTATATTTTAAAATATGAATTTTGTCAGATAAAATAGTTTTAAAAATATCAAAGGTCTACGGTATCAGGTTGCAAAGATTTAAGGATCATAAAATTCAAATTAGTTGCGAGATTCCAGTTCCTATGGTTTTAATCAATTCTCTTTTTTAAGGTCTTGAAAAAATAAATTTAAAATTCGGTGGTATATAACCATCAAAATCGATAAAAAAAAATAATAAAAATTTGTTAAAAACCACAAGAGAATAAACAAACATTAAAGATTATTCAAATTAAAAATTTGGGCTGTCAAATGGACATAAGGGAAACGAACTCAGATTATCAGAGGGAAAAAATAAATTCAGCTTTATTTACTTACTTCTTTGCCTTGTCAAAAAATATCACTAATCAATCCCACTAATCATGAATAATAAAAGCCGACCATTTAAAAAATTTAAACACTTCAAATGTTTCGGTGGACATAACATAGTGCTAAAAAGTGCATGTTTAAGAAAATTCTTTGGTCTGTTTCTCCACTTTGAGAAGCATTTAAACTGTTTTTTAAACTAGTAATGCGTATTAAATAATATTTTAGGTCGTTTTTAAATTTTTATGTTTAATTAGACATTCTGTATTTATTTATAGTGGAGCTACTTGCTATGCCATGTTCCTGGGTCATGCTACAAACCTTATACAGAGCTTAGATTCTTCAAGGAGACAATATAGGGAGAAGGTAGGGTTTATATACAAGGATTTAATATAGGGAGAAGGTAGGGTTTATATACAAGGAGACAATTTAGGGAGAAGGTAGGGTTTATATACAAGGAGACAATATAGGGAAAAGGTAGGGTTTATATTCAAGGAGACAATATAGGGAGAAGGTAGGGTTTATATTCAAGGAGACAATATAGGGAGAAGGTAGGGTTTATATACAAGGAGACAATTTAGGGAGAAGGAAGGGTTTATATTCAAGGAGACAATCTAGGGAGAAGGTAGGGTTTATATTCAAGGAGACAATATAGGGAGAATGTAGGGTTTATATACAAGGAGACAATATAGGGAAAAGGTAGGGTTTGTATTCAAGGAGACAATATAGGGAGAAGGTAGGATTTATATTCAAGGAG